ATAACTTCTTTTACTGTTTTGGGCGGTTATGTTCAAGCTTCACCCGTTTTGGTGGGGGTTTCCATTGTTTGAATTTTGACAAATTTCGTAAATAATATGCCTTTGCAGCCTTGAATACCGCTTTAAGCTGGCTTTGAAAACGCTCATCAACTAAATGACATTTGATTAATATTTAATTTTTTCTGGTCACACACTCATGTTAAAAATTCATCTTACATTTCCAGTTTAAATACATAATTTTATAATGGGTTCAATTTTTTGGCGCAATTCATTGCATTTCCGGGATTTCCCTAAATCAAACTTCGGCCCGCTTATTTCAATTAAACCGCCTTAATGGATCTTCTATCCGGTGGGATCTTTATGAAACAAGTCTACCTCTTAAAGAAAAATCATTTGAAATGTTGCTACAAAAGTTAAGATGTTCTCTGGTGCAAGGCGCCTATTTTATCGTTTGGGTAATAACTCGAGATAACATCAAGAAAAATGTAATAGCTTTCTTCAAGAAACGTGAGCTTTTGAGCATCTCTTCTTAAAGATATATATTTTACAATTCAGCCTTAAATACTAATTAAAATACAGAGGTTGCTTTTATTTGCACTGCCGGATAAAATGCTGGATCGGATACAACAGCAAAGTTATGGTATGACATCTAGCTCGCTGTAGACATTATATTCTATTATTCCAAATGTGTCAGAAAATTGATACTATAGTGTATAGGTTTAACAAAGAATACCCCAAGAATTGTTCGGATATGAATGTTTAATGTTTTCTTGTATTACTTAATGATTGTTGTGATGATAAAGAAGCACTATAATTTACTGTCCAGCATAAGCCTTGGAGTTTTTTAAGTCACCAAATCATATTATAAGAAGTTATTTTTCCTTTTTTTAAGACGAGAGGTAAATTGTTTTCAAATTTAATCAAACGGCCCTTATCGCGTTCATGTTGAAGAAGTCTCTTCTGTTGTCATGGTGATCCATGTTCCAACAAATAAAAGGCATTTACGAAACCACTGGTCATCGTAAAGAAGATTGGTTCCTATAAGGAAATTATCGATGGGTTCAGACAAAACAGCCCTTGAAAATTTATTGGGTAAACCATTCACTGACAACTTAAAAGACTTTTGAAGCTCAAACAGATATCGTTTCCCCTTGAAGAATTTTATCTGGCACAAAAGTGAGATCACATAAATAGACAGGTATGTAATCCTTTGTATTTAATTTGTGTTTGTCACGAGGGGCCTTTTCATGTTGCTTCGTAAGGTGGATATATCAAATGTTTTCAGGTCTATCTCGTGACATCAAAGGAAATAAAATCCAGAATAACATTGTCGTATAAAAAATTCTCTAGCGTAACTCAAGGCTTTTTAGCGAATTTGCATTTTTGAGAAGGAGATGATGTTGTTCAGGATATAAATAAAAGACCGCAAACCACGATTACATCATAATTTGAACAACGAAAGTGTTACTTCCAAATTCGTGCGCTGAAATATAAAATCAGCTCTTGTTTTAAATGGAAAAAAAGCGAACGCTGTTAATTTTTGTTCAAAGTAATTCACACATAAAATAGCGATATGGATTAAAAAAATCATTTTAGTTTACTATTTAAAATGAAGCAAAACATAAAACGACGATAATGAAGCTGAAACGCTTCTAATACCTTCAGAAAATCGCTTAAAATAGCGATAATTCATGGCCTCTACCAGAAATGAGATGACTTGAACAGGATTGAGTACGTTTCAGGAGTTGTCGCATGGATATCATCTTTAGGTTTCAAATGAAATAACTTGACTTCACCAGGTGTTTTCCTTGTTTAGGTTCTCAAAGAAACGGCAAATTTGAAAATAACGTTTTAACTCTCAAGATTTCCCAATTTTCGTGGAGTAGTGAAAAACAAACAGTCCCAGGTAAAAGTACTGCTGAAGAGGTTTCGTTTGAATGGTTACACCATAGGATTTCATCCACAGACTCAAAAGTTAGAGCTACGTACAAAACATAGAGCACCATGTGAAAGTACTGCTGAAGAGGTTTCGTTTGAATGGTTACACCATAGGATTTCAACCATAGACTCAAAAGTTAGAACAACATACAAAACAAATAGCATCACGTGAAAGTACTGCTGAAGAGGTTTCATTTGAATGGTCACCCCATAAGATTTCGTCCACAGACTCAAAAGTTTAAATAGTACCATGTGAAAGTACTAAGGTTTCACTTGAGTGGTCACACTGCTAGATTTCATCCACTGACTCAAAAGTTAGTCAAGAACTTATCAGTTTTTAATACGTAGTTACATAATATTTTTAAAAACAGATAGTAAGAAGTACCTCAGGATCGGGGTTTCATTCGGAAGGTAGAGCTCACTTCAAAATCAATAGCTAAACCTTTTTAAAAAGGGCTTTTTGTTTTTGTTTCAGTTTTATTTTAAAGCAATTTCTATCTCGAGCTGTCCGAATCTAAACGGTAAAAACCATTACGTTTAACTTTTGTCTTTTCAATGCTTTTAATCCAAGGCTGTTGTTTAGGATTAATATATAGTATATTGGTTGGTATTTTTAACCACTTTTGTTTTTCAAAAACTTGTAATTACAATGGTCAACATCGTAAAACTCTTGTGTCATTAGCATTTTAAAGCCACCTTTGTTAAGTACTAAAATAGCAGGCCATTATGATATGCAGTAAGTCATATAAGTCAATTCGTTTTATGCACAGCATGATATCTCGGAAAACTATACACTTATCATTGAATAGTGAATCACCTTTTTCACAGCACGCCGTTCTACTGTTTACTGATGGTTAACACTGAAAGCACGCCTACAAGATACTTAACAACTGAGCAAAAAATACCCATTTCAAACTAAACCACCATCCCTGATAAATCTTTTCTGGAAAAAGACTTTATCAGAGCAGGTGGAATAATGTATCTGACAAGCTATCAAAAACAAAGACTTCTATTTCCTCGCCTTAAACAAATTTCCTGCAACACTTTACAGAAGATATTGTTTACATTAATTTGTATTTGATTACTTTTCCTGTTTTGCTGTCACTTACGAATTTATTTCATCTCATACTGATCCATGATTTTATTCAGCTCGTTGTTCTTACTATTTTGACACTGCTTCAAATTCATTTTTGACTGATTGTTTAGCTTCTGGTGTTTGTGTTCGCTAAAAGTCGTAAATTAAAATTAAAAAATTTCAGGCCCCTAGCCAAAATATGCAGCGACAGTAGGAAAAAGAATGATAAACAATTTTCTAAAGAGAGAGAAAAAAGGAAAAATAAAAGGGAACATTTTACCAGGTAAGTAATTCAGTAACTACATTTTGATTAAAATTTCGTTTCGGACAAAAATTTAAAGAGGTTGTGGCGCCGTACTTTTACGTAAAACGTATTTTTAGTCCTGGAGAGCTGTGAAGATTTATTTTCTTTGCGAGCAAATTGCGTAGTAAAGAGACGGGGTCTGTAAATCTAACTTTTGAGAATGTCAATTAACTATAATTGAACCCGTGTTCAGGCGAGGAGAATGATAAGTAAAACTACATTTGGGCTCATTCTTAAGACATTAGATAAAAAGAAAAGTTAGAACGGATATGCAGAAAAAACCCAGGAGCCAGATAAAACAAGGAGTCTATCACTTGAGACTGCAATATTCAATATTTTGTTTCTTAACTCTCCAAAATAAGAAAAAAAAACAAAATAAATGTAGAAAACTTCAATCCGTTCCCATCAGGCGCTGAAGAAAGTTTTCGTTATACAGCATTTAAAATGACGAAGCTAACGGTTTCAACAACAGGATATAGTTAAGCATACGAAAGCCGTCACTGGTACAAAAAGCCAATAATCGTCCGGAGAAGTGGTTGAGTTCGCGATAACTGGAAAAATACTCATAGGGTTACTGCACTTAAAAAACCGGTAAGCCGCCAGGAGATGGGCTTTATACTTTGGTTTTTATCTTAAAATTAGAATATGAATAACCAAACAGATAACTGAAGTACATCATATCATTTAGTAAAGAAACCATATAACCGTGTAAGAATCTCAGAAGCACACACCGCCGGGAGTGGTCATTTGATTTCGCTGCATCACTGGTAAGGAAATCAAATTGGTACGCGCAATATTTCGACGATCTCATAGAAAAATAGGGGACTATGAACAGTCTATCAAATTAATTGGTAATTGCACTTCTCTCCTACCTTTGTGATCCTGAACATTATTCTTAAACTGCCACGTAAGTTTTGCAAAAGGCAAACTCTTCATTTGATTATAAGGTGTAGAGTATTTGGCAGATGACATTGCAATGTATAGGAAATTCTCACGTTTTGGCGGGAACTTGACAGTATTATATGGAAGCCGGAAAGAAGGTCATGTGGTAGACTCTAACAGCGGGAGGTCAGAAACTTTCTTTTCAGAAAGTCACGGCTTGAGAAATTTTCTCCGTAATAACCATATCCAAGTCACATCGCACTTCACGCAAAATACCACCGGATTTATAGTGGAATTTTTCTCAGTAAGATTTCTGATAGGATAAGAACTCAACTCTTCAACTAATTCATTTTCTTCGCTTTACCGGAAAACGATTGTACGCGAGGGTCACAAAATCACTAACGTGAAGAAGGTTTGGATATTGGAAACTAACTATACCAAAATTTCCTAACTTGCCTTCGTCAAAAATTATCACTGATTTGAGAAGCTATTTCAAAGAAGCACTGCATGTACGGTGTGTTTCTCATTACATAAAGAATGGGATACAAGAATAAGAATTCAAAAAATAAACAATAAGACAATGATGCAGTAAGGTTATCATACTATAGAAAGGTTAATAATGATATTTTACAACTCTTAATGTTTTTCGCAGGTTTCTAAAGAAAACAGCAAAGGAATTGCGCAAGTATTTTCATCTCAACTTTTGAATCGCTAGCTCTCACCTCAAAAATATTGGCTAGAAAAAGAAGGCTGGTAGACTAAACAGAAGAGAGGTTCGCACCTGGAACAAAAACACCAGAAAATCTTTTATACAGTAATCATCTGAAGTGTTTATCAGTTCCCTGTGACATCGACGCTATGACAAATTCAACGGAAACAGGAATAACCGGAATGCAAGTAGCAGAGTATACTTTATTCACCATCATATTTATGATTGCTGTCACCGGAAACACGCTCGTCTGCTTGGTGATTTTTCAAACTCCGCGCATGCGTACCACACGTAACTACCTTCTGGTGAATCTAGCGGTGTCCGATCTCATGGTAGCACTGTTTTGTATCCCCTTCGATGTGGTACTGAAAGTGACGCAGCCTGTCTGGCCTCTTGGCTCTGCTATGTGCAAAGTGTTATGGCCTGCCATGACTCTCTTTACAAATTGCTCCGCTGCAACACTTGCTGGCATTAGCTATGACAGGTGAGTGTTAAAGTACTCTTGGCAATTCGCAGACGTTCTCAGGGCTTCATACCCTGGAGGGGACACGTAGCGAAGCCCTCGCCTTCGTAGTAGGCTAACACACTCCACATCAGTCTTTATCACAGAGCCTAAATTTCTCTTATTTAGCGGAACAGAAAGGAAGAGCTCCTCTATAAGCGCGCGTTTATCAACGACCAGATTCTAGGACTTAGCGTACCTTTGTTCTCTCACGGCGCTTTAAATATCCTAATGAAGAGAGAGGCGGAGGGGAAATGAGCGCACCGTAGGCCTCAGGTTTGTCAGTCAAATGACAACTGTTACGAGTTACCGACGTAAAATAAGGACCTTAAACCTTTTTTTTTTTTTTACCTTGATGTGCAGTTAAGCCGGAAGTTCGAAGATTCGGAACGCTTTGTCCCAGAGACCCTTTGGTCATCATCATCATCATCACCATCATCATCGTCAACATCGTCAACATCGTCATCTACATCATCATCATCATCATCATCATCATCATAATCATTGTCACTTGCGTATGCGAACCAGCAGGCACATAAGGCCGCGAGTTCAGGCCCCGCCCACACCGCTAGCCGAATTTGGCTCTTGGTAGCCCCGAGTTTCAAACCTTTACTTGACAATACTTGTAAACAGCGAGCTTCTTTGTCTCAGGCCAGTTGACATTGTCAGCATTGATATGTTTATTGGATGTATTTGTTTCACATATTTTCTCAGTCTCATGGGCATTTGTGCTATAGACATTTCCTAGCGTAAATCAAGTTGGTTTTAACATTAATTCACTGAGAAGATCCTTGTTTGTTTTTACTAATTAGGTACCGCGCTGTAATTCACCCGTGGAAGCCGCGCTTCACCACAGTTCAAACTGCTGTAATCATAAGCACGACATGGCTCTTGTCCCTGATTCTCGTTCTTCCATATATCCTCGCGCTGAAGATGAAAGATGGCTCCTGCGTAGAAGACTGGCCTGTGCCATTTGCCGTTAAACTGTACACCATGGGCCTGTTTATCTTTCAGTACGCTCTTCCGCTGGTGATCATCGGCTTGGCGTACACGATGGTCGCTCTAAAGCTACGCGAGCAGGCTTCTCGCATAGCGAAAAACCGAAAGATAAGTGGCATCTCCGACAGTGCTTACAGTAAAGCTAAGAATTCCTTCAACAAGTACAGCGAGGCTGCGCAAACTGATGAGAGTGAGCTACCGTCAAATGAACACACGGCCGTTTACACTCAAAATCCAACCGCGATCAAACGCCTAGACAACTCCCAGAAAGAACACACTTCCAGCGCCCGACAAGAGGAGAAACGCCTCCACCGCAACACTAAGATTGTACAANATCATCATCATCATCATCATCATCATCATAATCATTGTCACTTGCGTATGCGAACCAGCAGGCACATAAGGCCGCGAGTTCAGGCCCCGCCCACACCGCTAGCCGAATTTGGCTCTTGGTAGCCCCGAGTTTCAAACCTTTACTTGACAATACTTGTAAACAGCGAGCTTCTTTGTCTCAGGCCAGTTGACATTGTCAGCATTGATATGTTTATTGGATGTATTTGTTTCACATATTTTCTCAGTCTCATGGGCATTTGTGCTATAGACATTTCCTAGCGTAAATCAAGTTGGTTTTAACATTAATTCACTGAGAAGATCCTTGTTTGTTTTTACTAATAAGGTACCGCGCTGTAATTCACCCGTGGAAGCCGCGCTTCACCACAGTTCAAACTGCTGTAATCATAAGCACGACATGGCTCTTGTCCCTGATTCTCGTTCTTCCATATATCCTCGCGCTGAAGATGAAAGATGACTCCTGCGTAGAAGACTGGCCTGTGCCATTTGCCGTTAAACTGTACACCATGGGCCTGTTTATCTTTCAGTACGCTCTTTCGCTGGTGATCATCGGCTTGGCGTACACGATGGTCGCTCTAAAGCTACGCGAGCAGGCTTCTCGCATAGCGAAAAACCGAAAGATAAGTGGCATCTCCGACAGTGCTTACAGTAAAGCTAAGAATTCCTTCAACAAGTACAGCGAGGCTGCGCAAACTGATGAGAGTGAGCTACCGTCAAATGAACACACGGCCGTTTACACTCAAAATCCAACCGCGATCAAACGCCTAGACAACTCCCAGAAAGAACACACTTCCAGCGCCCGACAAGAGGAGAAACGCCTCCACCGCAACACTAAGATTGTACAAATGTTGGTGGCCGTTGTCTTATCTTACGCCATCTGCCTTCTACCCAACCAAGTGGTGTGGTTATGGTACGAGTTTGGTTCAGGTTCGAAGTGGGTTCATTTGAACACATTTCTTACTTTTGGAAGTATTATGGTTTATGTCAATAGCTGTGTGAACCCGCTTCTGTACGCCGGTATGAATGATGAATTTAGGAAGGGTTTTGTTAAAATTCTAAAGTGCCGAAGCAAGATTTTTCGTCCCTACATTCCATAGCTTCTTAGATGATACTTTGATCAACAAGTTTCGACAGATTATCGAGATGGTAATCACTCTTGGCTTAGATTCCTAAGTTTGTTTTTGCCTTAAACCTAATACAGTCGAAGCTGTCTTAACGGACAGCTCACACAACTCTATTACACGCAGCTATTTGTCCTCACGCAACACTCCTCCCCACAGTAGCATTTCGTGATGACACCAAGAATCCTGATCCTCTCAAGCGCCCATGTAAGCACCCATGCAGCTCCATTTGCCGACTATTTTCTTTTCCTTTCCGAGTGTATCCGAGTAAGGAAGTTTCGACTGTATCATACTTTACGTGTTTATATTTTTGAAACACAAACCTCTTATAATTTTCTCATCGATGTAGAGGTTGTAAGTGTTACTGTAAAATTCTAATTCATCAGGAATAAACTGAAGAGAAATCTAGAGCATGCAGTTGCTAGGGAAGAACACACGTTAATCTGATTATGATATGTTTTAAAAGGCTTTTCGGTCCAGACGTTTCGATTGCCTGATTGACCTGAAGCTGTTGCCCTATACGTCTTTGAAAACACTTTCTTTCAAATTTCTGGTAACATATCTCTGGGGGCAGCAAGAGAAAGGAGGGTCAGTGACTTAAGGGAAACTTGAAAGTTCACCGTCAAAAGTCAACCTGTCTATTCCAATTTGATTATATACAAGGTTAAAGATATAATAATTATTACACATATGATAAGGGACAGGTATAATAAAAGCCTACGTACCAGGTGCCGGTTTTTAGGGCGAAGTAAAAATTGACCAAAAAAAACACAAACCGGTGCTTGAGTCGCAGGCTTGTAATAACAAACATGAGGCAGAAATGAAGTGATATAAATAATTATATTATTAAATAGAGAGTTAAAAGAAGAAAAAAAGAAAAGAAAAATAGAAAACATCTCCTTTCATCATACCAGCATGGCAATGGTATTTTCAAGAGCCTTTAGCTATGGTAGAGGATGTGGACATCACAAAAGGCACACACATCCCCAAACAAGACTATCATGAGTGTCAACATTACTGTTGCCTTGCAGACACCCCACTATAACGGACACTCCGATAATATGGACAGCAGTTAAATCCCAAGAATTATTGAATTATAGATATTTGACTGAAATAAACTCCCACTGATACGGACTCTCACTAATGAGGACACAAACTCAAGGGCCCTACATAAAGGGAGTTGACTGTAATTCTCTCCCTCATCAGTCCCCGTTTTTGTCTCGTCACGCACCTGCGTCACGCAACGCTCCTCCCCAATAATGAAGTGCTTTACTCCTGGGTTGCCTATATCGGACAAAATGAAGGATAACTTGTGGCTCTTTACTTTCAAGTTGGTATAGAAATTCTAAATATTTTTTTTTACCTGCCGGCTCGTGCTAAGGCCTTTTGACAGCTGAAGATCCATGAGCCATCGGGTAAAAATATCACTTGATATTTGTCTACACGTTCAACTTCGGTATTTGCACTAATAGAAATTCTAAATATTTTTTTTTACCTGCCGGCTCGTGCTAAGGCCTTTTGACAGCTGAAGATCCATGAGCCATCGGGTAAAAATATCACTTGATATTTGTCTACACGTTCAACTTCGGTATTTGCACTCGCTGTAAACAACAATTCACTGATTGATTACCGTTCAAAACAATACCTTAAACTACTACGAGATCTGAAAAGGAATAACTACCTCCTCCAGTGATGATCCTTTGGTGATTTTTCTTCACATAAACCTGCATGGACCTCGACTCACGTTCAAAACATGGTCGATCGACTGATCGAAAATCGCGCCCGGCTTACGCTCGCAAGACCTTATGGGAGATGATAAAAGGCGCGGCTACCAGGCGGCTAACATGTCATCGAATAATTCCTAGACCCGAAAGGGCTCTGAGTCAATGGCCCATGAGGTCAAGGGCCGAATCGGCTATTGACTCAGAGGCCATGAGGGCGAGAAGAATAATTGTTTTTGTAAAATCCAACTAGTTGGTCAAAAATATCGAGAATAAAAAAATTTTAGCTAGTTAAAGTTAGACTTAAATCCTTCTTTGCGCCAAAACTGCCCGCGCTTTTCGCTACTAGTGGGCTATAACATATAGCCTAGTAGTAGCTCAACCAATCAGAACGCAGCATTGATAATAGACCACTAGCTGGATTTTACTAATAATCGATAGACTGGGCGATCGACCACAAAATTTTGAGCCTCGATAAGCCATCGATTACCCATTGATTATAGCGAATAATCAGTTGATTGCCCATGATTACTCTTCGATTACTCATTGTTGCCATTCATCATCGATTAGTTACGTCTGGTTTATGTCGAGAATTTATGGCAGCTTGACCCGCTTTGAGCACCGTGTCACTCTGGGAAGTTTCTCTGGGTACGGTTGAATCATTCTGAGGTCAAAACAATAACTGTAAAATAAAATACCGTAAGGTACACAAACAATACAATTAAATTTAATATTTATAACACCATAGTCCTCTTAAATTTGTCACGTACGACTGGCACAGGAAAAGCCACAAGTGATAATCCACCGGAAATAACGCATTATGACGTCACTTTCCAAGCTGAAAGCAGCTCTCATAACGCATAAAAACGTTGAGTAATCAGAGTTCACTACCCAAATCTCTGGTACAAAGAGACTAGTAAGTTTATAGTGCTTTTTAAAAAAACGTTACAATCTTTCGAAAAGGATAAGAAATGAGAGTATCGCTAATCTTCCTGGTTCTGCTACTTGAGTTTTCATGGGGACGAATCAGTGGAATTAACACTGGTCGAGTGCGTCGACTAGCTTTTCGAAAACCCAAGCCGACTGCATTTCAGGTAACTCGTTTTCTAGCCCGTAAGGCATTCCCATATCTATGATTAATGTCAGTACAGGTCAGCTTTGAAGTACCTTCATTGATTATGTCTCTTTCATTGATAATAAGCTCGTAAATATTGTCCTATTAATGCTATGCATGCAAGGGAAGGCCTAAACTTGAGAACACCCGCCACTTTGGCGTCTTGTTCAGTTCCAACTATGTCACGCTTCGACAAATCTTTTTGTATCATTTCTTTGATGAAAATTGTCGAATATGTTGAAGGGTAGTGAGTGGCTCTGGCACGCGATGGACTTCAGCCGATAGCCTATAAACAACAACAAGCGCTCACATAATGAGTTTGGGATACCTGTGCTCAAAAAAAGAGATACGTATTGCGTTGTGTATGCTTGCCGACCGCCATGTTGCGCGATCATATAAAATCGGTCACGTATATATTAATAGGAGAATTTTTCCAAAGCGCATGAATTATTTTATGGCACAGGGGGTGCTGGCAAGGATAGACGGCGAGCGGTCGTCCTTGTATTCTTCCCTCCAAAGCCAAGCTCCAGAGCAAAGCGCGGTAGAGCGAAAAAGTAAAATTATGAATGGTACAAATGAGGAGAGAAATTAGGGCGGAGAAAAAATTAAAACACAGGAAAAATCACGAGCGAGATGGTGTCAAATGAAAGGAAGGAAGGAACTGTCAATCAAGGGGGCGTGAAAATCAGATATACCATCGCAGTCTCCTTTTTTTTTTCTCCGCTCGGGCCTACGCCTTTGGTCCTCACTACACTCTCGCTGAAAAGTAACAGCGCGGACTGCCCGAAGTCTAGAGGTAAAACAATAGACAAGCAAAGGTTATTTCTAATCATTACGATCGACATGCCTTCCTTTCGCGCTTTACTCTTCTTTCTCTCCCATTACTGTGCCTGTCACATACAGGCTATGCAATTGAGATTAGTTAACTAGTTAGTGACCTTGATTACAATTTTGCAAATTTTGCAGCTGTCAATGCTCGGTGGGAACGAACGTCGCCCGCCAGAAGAGCGACACATTACCGAACGAGGCACGAAGTGCCCTTCAGTTTTTTTACTGTAAGCCGATGTTGGCTTCTTCAGTCCTTTAGGTCAAGGGTCCCACTGAGCATTGGATAAAATGTTACCGGGTTGTAACAGGATCGCGTGACGGTTTGATCGATAAAAAACAAATTACTGAACAAAGGTGAATCGCGCTATCTCAAGTTCACAAACAACTCCTCTGCGCCCTGTGACTCAAGTAACGTTGTATTGACCTAATGATAGTTCCTTATGTTGCTCAAAATCCCCCTCGGATACTACAGGCAAAGGAAGACGCACGCGCGTGAAAACTGCCACCCTTATTGCCTGTTCGAGACGTTCGTGAGGACAGCACAAAGACAAATTTCCGTTCCCCAGTTCTCGCCACTCTCAACTGTTCCTGCCTATTTGCTCATTTTGTGTGATGAATGAACTCTGCCAGGAGCCAAGTGCCTCGTATCATCTCAAGTATACTTGCTGATATCTTCTTACTTTTAGGTGAATTTTAAGAAAGGTTTTAACTGGCGGGAAGTAACTACAGAAGATAAATTCTATGAAATGTTCCCTAACATACCACGTCTACCCCAGCACCAAGGTAACGATTATTATGGTCTTGGGTCAGGGGGGGTAAGAGGGTGGGGGCGAAATATACCCTGTTGATGTCTATATCCACCACCGGCGCATTTACGTCAGGAGCGTGCTGTATTGAGGTTTTCAACTGATTATGAGCACTACCAATAAGAATGCATGCAAATTCATGAACAAAAATCTTCCAGTTGTGCTTTGCTGAATTGCATTAGCACCTGGCAAGTTTTAATTACAGAAAAGAAGTGTTAAATGCTGTTGTGGCGCTTCTCTTAGGTGCGTTTTACAACTCAACGATGCACTTTAAAATTTTGAGTTGTGGAAATTATACGGGAATGAATGTTTGATGAATGATTTGCTTTATCCGTGTAACAATCATGGTAATTTTTTAATAATTTATTCTGCGTCACATTCACAGCCAAAGTACAAGGAGGATTTAAACCAATAAGACCTGGTAGGTGGCTTATTTAACTTTTTATCGTTCATATCAAGCGAAGCCAATGACTAGCGTTTTCTTCAGGTAGTGTTTTCCGGAATTGTTTTTCAATTCAACTGCTAGTGTTTTGTTAGATTACTTTTATAGGGATAGGACACGGGGCCGGTATGGTTTACCCTAGGTGTTAGAGGTTTTTTAGCACTTGCTGCATCTAGGTTAAGCCTAGTTTTTAGGCTCGGCTACAGGTCCGCTCCCCGGTGGGCAGTATGCTCCCCAAACTTCCGATAGGTCGCCCGATGTAAGGAAGTCCAAGACAGTCTTGGATTCTGGTTTCCACGCCATGGATTCCGGATTCTAGGTGCTAAATTCCGGATTCTTTGTCAGGTGAACTTGGACTCTGGATTCCAACCGTTAGTGGGATTCCGGATTTTTTTAGCTGTATTCCAGATCCCAAAGCCCAGGATTCCGGATTCCACAAGCAAAAATTTCCCGGATCCAGGAATCTGGATTCACTTGCGCGGGGCGACATAGGGTATCCGGCCTCCCAAAGAGGTCTTAATTTGTGAAAATGATCGAAAACGTAGAATCTAGAATCACATTTAAGGGGGTTTTCTGGAATGGGGTGCAATACAGTAAAACCTATTTACTACATACAGCAAAGGGCTATGCTAGCGTGTGCGCATCATCCGAATGTCATTATCAAGCGGTATGATAGAGAATAATTGTCACGAGAAACGAGCTTCTTCAAACCTGTTTTTGTCTGAGCTCTTCCTTTGTGACATCTGTTAAATCTGTAGATGGATGAATAGTAACGCAGGTCTTTCCAGAAAAAATACGTAAGATTACTTCTTGGTGCTGTGTTTATCCTGTTTTCAATGTTTATATTTATTGCCAAAAGGATTTGAAGGACTACACAAAATTCCTGGCAATCGCGTACCAGGGAAACCATCCATTTCTAAAAGTAAGTTGTTACAACCTTTGGTTAAACAGTGTTTTGATGTTACGTTAAATATCTCCTATTACTTTGTTTACACATGAGAAAAGGTGTCTTGGAATAACAAATTTACTAACTTCGAAAAAAGTCGCTTTGTACGCAATAATGCCTCAATGTGGCACGTTAAATCTGCATTTAAGCCACGCGTGCGTCCTTGAATTTCTCTCTTCGCCATAAGAACCGGCGCCTGCTACGCAGGCTAGAGCTTATCCCGCATGAAGCGAATAGGAGTAGGTCCACTCCTCTTGGACGGGATACTAGTTCATCGAAGGGTCGCGCCTCCCACTATGATCAGTAACAATTTCATCTCTCTAACTTGACGTGGTCTTCTGAAGCGTCTTCTCTGCTCGTTAAATGGTTCCGCCGCATTCTCGTCCTCAGCGCACCTCGGCTTTTTTTAAATGCGCGGAGCTTCTCGTTTTGATGATCATGACCCTAAGCTGTGCTTTGCTGTATTTTACAAAACAGACAAAGTTGATACTTCAACTCACTGCGCAAGTCGGCGGACGTTGATTGATCTTCCTATCACAAGATCCTTTGGACAGCACATCTTCCCATCATGCGCATGGGTAAAACGCTGCTCGGGCTGCATGTGTTCTGACTTGATGACGTGCAAGCCAGCGAAGGCAAGGACCAAGACAGTTGATTTTTATCGCATTGGTAAGTAAAATTTTAAAATTTGACCAGTATGTTTATTACTATTGAAAAAAAAAGTTTAAAAATTTACAAGTAAAAAAAAAAAACAAAACTCTTTAAAATATAACCATGGCAAAAAATTGTTTAAAAGCCTTTTAATTCTTTGTGGTTAAAAAGCCTTTTAAAGTTTTTTTGGTTTTTTATTCCCCCCCCCCCCCCCGCCTGACCGCCTCCTATGTCAAAGTTGCTAGCAATACGAGACCATTCTCAAAACTTGGAGGAACAACTTTAAATGGAGGGGAGGAAGGGGGTGAGAGTAATATCACAGAGATGTGTGACTCAACGCAAATTTAGGTAAACACAAAAGTTTTTTGTCGGAGTGTCTCAACATTTTGCCAACTGGTTGTAGCGAGCTGTAGAATGACCCAGAATTCTCCTTGCACGAGACAAATGGAGTAAGAAAAGGAACTTGGAAGACAGGCGAGGAATCTTCCCTACCCTGTACTTACTTCTCCTTGTATTATTATCATCATGCCCAGCGTATAGGCCTGTCTTTGCGGAATTTGCCCAGGGTAAGAGTTACACCATAGACGCCGTTGCCGTATATACATACAAGTAAAAGTTGAAAAACCTTTGTTGCACGTATTGTTGGTAATATCCAAGAAAATAGCAGCCATCAAAACCTGCGAAATTGCTAAAAAAAAAAAAAAGAAAGAATGAGCCATATAGGTCGAGAAATTCTCCGAAACTTTTGCGTATAAAGTTATGCCTCTCTTTCAATATAGAGGGACGGTCTATCAATAGCTTCACCAGAGAATGATAAAGCAAAAATGCAAACAAAGATTTAGACTTGCCACAAGTCGACCTCACGACTCTAAGCGAGCGGAGGGAGCTTTTTAATTAAGCCACGAAACGGCCGAACGAACGACGAAGTCGCAAGATTCATCGTCCCGCCGCATATTAAATCGAACAATGGACTTCTTTAAGTCTAACAAAGATTCGGCAAAACGGCAACCTCATCCCTAGGGTTTTCTCTTTTTCCTGTGGTCTAGTTAGAGGTGGCGATCCGGGGGGGCACTCATCATCACTAATCATACGGGGAGGCTCTTCCCTTAAGTCCAACCCTTGACCCTTTTATCTACCTTTTAGGACAGAAAAGGTACACCATTGGTATCCCTTCCATCGATAAATGGTACCCCTGTCATTTTATTTTCATACAAAGTGTCTGTCACAAACCGCAATGACAGATTTCCTACCCTTTCCAATACTTCAACTAGTGAAGCCTGAAGGCACCCGTCTCGCGCGGAGCCTCCCTGTTAAGACCATGGATCAATTTAGGCTTCTGGGAAACTGCCCACCTACCCCTCCCTTAAGCCAACACTAACTCTTACTTCTCCCTTAGGGCAAAATGTTGGCGTAAGGGAGGGGTAGGTGGACAGTTTCCCAGAACCCTAAATTGATAGCATAGGGAGTAACCCTGTTGTGGCGACTACACACAGAAAGTGCTGGAGCTCTCGTTCGCCACAAAAAGGTGCCCTGCACACTTTAGAATCTTTGCAGCTGTAATATGCAAAATATCGAGGGCAAGGTTTGATTAATACCATGATCCCTCGTCCGATCCTTTAGCTCTCTAGATCTTAGTATAAAGCTGAACAGAAGTTTAAACTTAAAGTTCAAAGAAATATTCGGTTTCCATTTTCAGATGGACATACAGTTAATCGGGATAAAATACCGATAACTGAGCACGTGCAGTGTTCTTGTCAGTGTATTAAGTCATCTTCCTCTTGTACTGCCGCCACACAAGTTTGGAATGAAAACACCTGTGGCTGTGTTTGCAAACCCGCATACCAAGAACACAACCTAAACTGTACAGGAGTCTCAAAGGTATGGTCTTTTTATGAGCTTATATACTTAAAACAAGGGAACCCCTGAAATTGTCCTACAAATGAAGCATTTGAGTTTATAACATAGCGCGCGTGCTTGCCCTATATAAGCCCTATTGAGCCGCTATGAACAAAATCTTTATTTACGCACGCCCGTGCGTAAATAAGATGACGTAAGCATTTTTTTTTACCTGGTTGCAGAGTTGTCGTCTTCTAAGCTGCAGTGCAGTTTTCCTTCTCTTTAAAATATGGAAGAAACCAGCGAAGAACTGCCCCATTTTTCTATCGGCATTGACCTTTTAGGTCCTGATCCAACATGCAGCAAAAATAGAGCCGAATTAAAAAAAACTCGCATGTTGCACGTTTCGCAAATTTGTCGGAAGACCAGCTGCGGCAAATTTTGGCCGAAAGACATTCACTGGGAACAGAACAGACACCAACTGGTCATGAACAACATTAAGAGGTTAAATTTCCGTTTTTATTGTTGTTTTTAAATTTGTTATGCACTTTTGTTATCTCCGGACAATCCGACTGAAGCAGGAAGATTTCTCTCGCAATAACAACACAAATTAATTACACAAGAAGACATAAATTTATTACTCACAAAATCAACTGCTGCCAGGTCTTCTCAAGAAGCCGTAATGACCAGCCAATATTTGTAAATGAATATGAGTTTAAAGAAGGATGACAGTCGTCTTCGCTAAAAACATGTTTTCTGGATTTCGCCGAGCAAAACGTAAACATCTTTTCAGCAAATCCAAACCATACTCCACGACTTCTTACGAACATGTTAGTATTTTAACTTTAGGTGAGGTTTAAGACTCTTTTACCTTTGTTTCTGCTTAGTTTCCATTGATCGTTAACGAATAAAGAAGCAAATTTTCTTTCTCAGTTTTACAGAAAAGCTACAGAAAGAATATTTTCATTCAAACTAGATGATTGTGGTGTGTTGGTAATCAGCCAATAGAAGCGTTTGTTATTGTGTAGCGCGTTACGAGAATTTTGCAGTTAATCAAAAAGCAAGCATTTTTGTCAGCTATGTTATAAAAGAATTTGCTCATGCTTTTAGCTGTGCGTATATCGAGTTATGGATGCACTTGGGAAGTTTGGAGAGCACTCAAGAAGCTAGAGTTGCACTCGGCTATCGCCTCGTGCAACTCTTACGCATCTTTCGTGCTCTCCAAACTTCCCGCGTGCATCCATAACTCGATATACGCACGCTAAGCATGAACAAATTCTTAATTTGCTGGAGCTTGTTCGCAGATGAATACAAGACTTTACCAAAATCGACCAGGAGAAACGTAACAAACAAATTCGTATTTGGAAGCCTATGACTTCCGGATCTATCATGTAAACATTGATTTACGTCATCAGTATGGAATTTCTGTCGCTGAGTCGCAGACGTTGTTCCATGCGAAAAGTCCCCAGCGGGGATGAGAGGGCAGAAACGGCTGTATTCGCAGGTTACCCTTCCAGATGAAAAAGACCTCTTCTGCATTCAGGGTTCCTATGGATTCATGGGGTTATTAATAGTTTGTGTTTTTCGCAATAGTCCATTTTCGAGTTGCCTCAAGCCTCTGTTTCAAAGCGAGGCTAAGTGCGAAGCTATCGATATGAAAATGATTGTTTTTTTCTCGTGGACAAAAAACTCATTGCATAAGAAAGGTTTTTCATTTCGCCTCGTTTTGAAAGTGAGAGTTTTTGGAACTCGGAAATGGCATGTCGCAATCCATTGTGATGTTCTTGATTATCATTATTATTATTATTATTCATTTATTTATTTATCTTTTTCTTTATTTTTTATAGTACGACTCTCGAACATGCAGCTGCATTTGTCCCAGGGCACATGAATCTTGTCCTCTTGGCTGGATGTGGAGTGATGTGAAATGCAGATGTGTAGAAAATCGTATCACCGCTTTGAGGAAACCCTGGAATAGGCAACGTGATGATGATTAACTATTATAGCTCAATCAATTGAAGGAAAAAGAAAGAAAATAACAGCGAAAGGACATTTAAGAGTGCCGGCCTGAAAAAAACGCCTCGCGTGAGCAAAACATACTCGGAACTCAAGACGAAACCCACAACTTGTCAAAAATGCGCGGGCTTTGACGCTCACGTTTATAGTTAAATTTAGTTCTTGGTTCAATTATGTTTTGTTTTCCTCCCATTATTATTCATTACTATTCAGAAAAAAAGGCAAAAAAAAAGGGAAAAGAAAGACTAACCAAAATTATATTATCTGCACTGTTCTCTGAACATTTCTTGTGGCTTCCATTCTGTAGGAGAAATTGTTTCCAAAGCTTTGGCGACTATTTCCTTTATTTTCATGACCGTACAGAATTAAAGAAACTCGCAAGTTATAGCTTAATTTTTAAGAACTTGCTGGGCTAAGACTTCCTTTTTAGACACATTTATTGTAACAACCTGTTTTAACCTTAAATTTAAACAGGTTCTTCTCTAACACTTAAGTTTAAAAACTTGGAGTTCATAAGCCAAATTTATCGTTTGAAAATAGCTTAGATAGTAGTCAGTTTTTGTTTAGATTACAGTCATTTAGACATGATAATATACCTATCTACTTAATCCTAAAGTGTGAAATAAAAACAATGGAAAAACCATTGGCCTGTTATTTTCACTGAATTTACTTAAGAATAAAACAGTCAAGTTCTCTTCAATAGACATGTTATTATTATTTACATTATATTACATTACATTTTTACGTCTAGTGGCAGCCATCTTGAGTCCCCCGTTCTATTAAATATCATCGAATTATTCCTCTATAAAAGATACTACAAGAACTCTAAACGAACTCAGTTTCAAACCAGATGGAAGCATAAGATTTGGAAAAAATATTCCAGTAAAAAAAAATAGCTCTTATGGATTCGTCTTTCATAAACGTTTGGCATATTGGCCTAATCCCCCTAGCCCCCTACTCACCCATTGATAGCAAGCTATTACTCATAAACATTTAAGGGGAACTTGCCCAGGGGTTAATTTCTATTATAGCCTTCACGGGGAGGCTCTGTCCGAAAGGGGTGCCTCTTTTAGGCTTCATGCAGGTATATGAAAGGGTAGGGAGATCTATCATTTAGGTCTGTAANGTTCTATTAAATATCATCGAATTATTCCTCTATAAAAGATACTACAAGAACTCTAAACGAACTCAGTTTCAAACCAGATGGAAGCATAAGATTTGGAAAAAATATTCCAGTAAAAAAAAATAGCTCTTATGGATTCGTTTTTCATAAACGTTTGGCATATTAGCCTAATCCCCCTAGCCCCCTACTCACCCATTGATAGCAAGCTATTACTCATAAACATTTAAGGGGAACTTGCCCAGGGGTTAATTTCTATTATAGCCTACACGGGGAGGCTCTGTCCGAAAGGGGTGCCTCTTTGAGGCTTCATGCAGGTATATGAAAGGGTAGGGAGATCTATCATTTAGGTCTGTAAAAGGACCGAAAAGGATTAAAAGAAGACGGTGCATTTACAGCAGTTAAAAGGGAACGAGGTGTGTGAAATGGGCATCATTTCTCAATAGAAGGTGTACGGCCATTATACGTTTCTGGGAAACTGCCCACCTACCCCTCCCCTCAGCTAACATTTTGCCCTGAGTGAGAAGTAAGTGTTAATGTTGGCTTAGGGGAGGGGTAGTTGGGCAGCTTCCCAGAAACGTATAATGATCCAAAGGTATCGGGACCCGGAGTAGTCAATCGGTAAAAATCGGTATCGATTTATCAATCGATAAATCAATAAAAATCGGTAAATCTGATTTGACTGATATCGATTGTATCGATCTATCGGTAGAAATCGATGACACACTCGTTTCTTTTATCGATTTATCTAGATTTTACTGATCCCATCGATTTATATCGGAAGATACATCTGCTCTTCTGTTCACCCAAAAATGAAAACTGATTTCATGCAAACGGTGAATTTGTTGACAATTAAGTTGCAATTGAGAGTCGAAAGATCAAACAATTTATTATCACTTTTTAAAAAGAAGGTTAAAAAAATCTTATCTTTTCTTTAAAACCCGTTTTAAAGTCTTCTTCTGATGGCCGATGTTGGCCAGGTTTGAAGGCACTCAGTTTTTTCACGATTTAGATCTGCCAACAGATAAAAAAACGAAATCGATAAAAATCGTTGGCGATCAAGTGATTTTATCGATTGATAATTGAAAACGGTAAAAAGCTATCTTAGGGAAATTTTTTAGCCCGAATTTCAGGCATCTTTTCGACTCTGGACGATGTCTGAAATTCTGCCTGGGAATTGCTTGCGAGAACTGCGAATGTAATTTATTAAACCGAACCGTTTTTGTTATTATGTACAAAAGGATCACGGTTTTAGAGAGAATCTTGTGTCTGTAATAGTTTCCACATTTCTTATTTTCATGTTTGTTGATCAGTTGTTACTCGAGGATGTCTTGGTTTTTACAGCTGACTACTATTTAACTTATGCCAAAAAACAAAAATGTCGGACTTACCGTTATAAATCGTTAAAATCATGAAAAGTCGATAATATCGATTTTCACCAATTTCCGTTATCAATCGATAAAAATCACTTGATTGCTATCGATTCCTATCAATACCGACTTTTATCGATTGCCTACTCCGGGAAAAGGGTAAGGAGTTGGACCTCCCAGTATAAAGCTTCTTCGAGTATCCTCGGGGGGCCTTATAACCTCCCCCTTTTATGTTTATGAGCAACGTGTTGCGCACGCGCACTTTTCATTTTTGCAGCGGTATTTTCAACCAATCACATCGCGTGGAAATTCAAAGAAACAAACATAATAACGTTAACTGCTATAATAGGCCAGTTGCACTAAGAGGTCACGTGACCAATGCTTCCTTAAAACGATGAGTTGGAAACTTGCTGATGCCAAAAATTGACAGAGCACATAAAAATTATCTTACACCCGAAATTTGAGAGGAAAAGCATTTAAGGGAGATATTTTATGGCACTTTGATTTTTCAACAAAGCAGTATGATTTGTATTGGCCGCCATGTTGGAGGGCATACTCTTACCCTCCAATATGGCGGCCAAAACTACTTTTTGCTTATATCTTGTTAAACGCTTGATAGTTACGCTCAGATCAGATACGTGTAAACCTTACCACATCATCTTTTCAATATTTCCCTTGAACTTTAAGCTCAATATTTGTGTTCTGAAAGATGTAATTCCTAATTTCAAAAACCACATTTTGGTCACGTGACCCGGTACAAACTTACTCATTTTAAGAAAATTGTGCTGGTTTGAAAAACCAAATCACTATGCTTTTGTTTATGATATGACCCACTAATCGTTTTTTTTTCGAAGGCAAAATCATATAACTTTCATTTTCATAAAAACGATGTCACATGACCTCTTAGTGCAAATGGCCTATAGGATGTCTTTTTGAGTCAGAGAGGCTTCTCGGAAGCCTGCCTCGCAGACGTATACGTTTCTGGGAAACTGCCCACCTACCCCTCCCCTAAGGCACATTCTGCCCTAAGTGAAAAGTAATGTTAGCTTAGGGGAGGGGTAGGTGGGCAGTTTCCCAGGAACGTATAATGATCAATTTAACCTCCGTTAGTAACGTCCGCGAAGCAACGCCGATATTCTTCTTCTGGATCTACAATAACCTGCGAACAGCAGACGCATTTCTGGTCGTCGCTTCTCTCCCTCCGAAAAATAGCTATTTTCGGAGGGAGAGAAGCGACGACCGGAAATGCGTCTGCTGTTGGCAGGCTAGATCCACAACGGACTAAACGAATTACCGGAAGTGCGTTTCGAGTTTCCTTTCATCTTGATGGGCAAATCGACAAAGGCATTTTTAACAGGCCAATCATGACAAGTAGTCAAATCCTGGTACACAATGGGGAGGGGGGAGGTTGGGGCTAAGAAAAGGATTTTGGCGCGTCGCAGAAGGACTTAACCACAGTTCAGATTCGTCTGCGGCGCAAGTTACTTCTTGGAAGCACAAGTATTTCTTTCATGAAATTTTATTCCCTTCAAAGATAAGAAATTCCTTCTTTAACGTATCAGTATAAATGACATGATTTTACGCAAAAAAGCCACATTTAGCCCATCGGAAGATTGGATCAGATTTGACCTTTACACCCGGGGGGGGGGTTACTCCCTTATAAGGGCTTAATGGGGACGTGCGGCCAGCCAGGGTATGTTTTCGGGATTTTTGTCTTAAACAGGGTATCGAATTTATCATTTTTGTCTTAATCAGGGTATCGATCTATCAATTTTTGTCTTAAACAGGATAAATGTCTTAAACAGGGTATCAAAAATCGGAATTCTGTCTTAAAGAGGGTGGGAAAATCAGCGATATTTGTCTTAAACAGGGTCAGGGTATGAGGGGCCGCGCCGCACCTCCCCACCCAGGAATATATCGAGTACCCCCCCCCCCGCCCTTTCCACCCATCAATTGGGTAACAGTATCTCTTCCTAATCTCTTCCTTTTTTCTTTGTTTTTTTTTTTTTTTTTTTTTCCTCCCTTAAAGCACGTTTTTTTTAATCAAAATAAGACCGGAAAAGCACCAGTCCGAAACACCGTAAACTAACGAAACACTATTTCGGGATTTTTTTCTTAAACATGGTATCGAATTTATCATTTTTTTCTTGAACAGGGTATCGATCTATCAATTTTTGTCTTAAACAGGAAAAAAGTCTTAAACAGGGTAACAAAAAACGGAAATCTTTCTTAAAGAGGGGGGGAAAATCAGCGATTTTTTTCTTAAACAGGGTCAGGGTATGAGGGGCCGCGCCGCACCCCCCCACCCAGGAAAATATCGAGTACCCCCCCCCCCGGCCTTTACAGCCATAAATTGGGTAACAGTATCTCTTCCTAATCTCTTCCTTTTTTCTTTGCTGATTATTTTTCTGTATGTTCCCGCCTTAAAGCACGTTTTCTTGAAACAAACTAGAATACCATCTGCTCTTTGGATAATTAATTACTTTTATTC